CAGCAGATGCCCCAGAGCCACAAAAGTAAAGGGCGTCCCCGGGGCCTGCATTGAAGTACTCCTTCGCTATTTGACGCGCCTGAAAACTCCGAACCCTAAACCCTAAACCCTAAACCCTAAACCCTAGCTGCCAAAGAGCCATTGGTGCCCTCGGGGCCTAGAGTTCCTTCCGGGCGACGAACTAGGGTTTAGTTGGGACCTTAGCGAGGGGAGCCTACCGCCTAGGGTCTAAAGAGCATAGGGTTTAGGGTTTAGGGTTTAGGGTTTAGGGTTTACCTCGCGGACAAAGTAAGTGGCCTGCCGCCCCAAAGCCGCCTGGTGGCTGTGAGTGTTTGCAGCGAGGGGCAGCACTGAGGTGTATATACACCTTTCCACGCAGCGCAGCGGGCGGCCTGCGCAGCAGCAAACCCTAAACCCTAAACCCTAAACCCTAAACCCTAAACCTTGGAGCCTGCGGCGTGAACCCCAGTCTTGGATTCTCGTCTGCGGGCGCTAGTAGCATTCAGAAATGCAGATTCAGGGGCTTTTTGCAGGCAGCTCCACGCCCTTAACGCTAAACCCTAAACCCTAAACCCTAAACCCTAAACCCTTGGCAGCGTGTACCCGTAGCAGCAAAATCGAAGTACAGCAAAGGCCTGGTCCCAAAGGGCCCAGATATAGACCCTGAATTGCTGCTGCTGCTCCTTCCGCTTCTCCTGCCTCTCCTTCTGCTGCTGCTCTTGCTGCTGCTCCTGCTGCTGCTGGTGCTGCTGCTGCTGGTGCTGCTGCTGCTGCTGTTGCTGCTGCTGCTGCTATTGCTTAGACTGCGGCGGCAAGAACCCCCGATTTCATTGCGCTGGAAGAAAGCTAGGGCCTCGCGGACCCTTTGCGACTCCGACGTCATTCCCCCAACTCTAAAGCCTAGACCCTAAACCCTAAACCCTAAACCCTAAATCCTAGGCTCCAAGTACTACGGCGCGAGCCAGAAGTTTCGCTCTAAATATCTCAAAACCAAATCCCGATATTGAGAAAAAACAGAAAACATGATAAAATTTACTAGGGCGTATAGCTGAGGGTTTAGGGTTTAGGGTTTAGGGTTTAGGGTTTAGGGTTTCAGGGTTAAGGGCTTAGGACCATTGGCTGCCCCACAGTGGGGGCCCCGGGGCCCCCTTGAAACATAAGGAGCAGTGCTGCTCCTCTACACCCTAGCCCCTAAACCCTAAACCCTAAATCCTACACCCTAAACCCGAAGCCTTGCGCTTGAAATCACAAGCTGCAGCTCTAGACCCCCAGCAGCAAACCCTAAACACTAAACCCTGAACCCTAGCCGCTGAGCTCCCGGCCAAGTGACCTCCAGTGGATTCATTGGCGAACTCTGCTGCCCTGGAGTTTAGGCTTTAGGGTTTAGGGTTTAGGAATTAGGGTTTATTAACGGGCCCCTGTAGACATAGACAGGGTCACTTTGGGGACCCCCAGGGGCCCCAGGGGCCCCAAGGAGATGCAAGCAGCACACTGGGGGGTTTTGCTGCAGCAGCAGCTGCTGTTGCACCCCCTGAGAGGCCCTTTCTCCCGCCTATCCGCTGCTGCTGCTGCTGGTGCTGCTGCTGCTGCTGGTGCTGCTGCTGCTGCTGCTGGGCGTCGGGGGGCGGCTGACTGCTGCTGCCACCGCTACAGCCGCAGCAGCAGCAGCAGCAGCATTTCCACTGTGCCGCTTTTGGCTGCGCCTTTGCTGCAGCAGCAGCGAACACCAGCAACGCTACATTCTAACGCAGCAGCAGCAGCGGCAGCAGCAACAGCAGCAGACGCAGAAGCTGCAGAAACACCTGCTCCTACAGCCCCAGCAGACACAGCAGCAGCAGCGGCAGCAGCACGGGAAACCTCTGCGGGTCTCTCTCTTGAAGGCTCATCAGCAGCAGAAGGGGCTGGAGCAGCAGCGCGAGAACCAGCAGCAGCAGCGGGCGCAGGAGCAGCAGCAGCAGCAGCAGGAGCAGCAGCAGCAGCAACAGGAGCAGCAGCAGATTTGGTCGGTTTGCTGCACTCCGAAGATGTTGAATACCCTGGGAGACCCCCCCCTCCCTTTTGTGACTTCTTGTGGGTCAAGGCGAAGGGGGGCAGGGGGGGGGCCCCCAAAGAAGGGGCCTTCAGGTTAGGGTTTAGGGTTTAGGGTTTAGGGTTTAGGGTTTAGGGTTTGGAGGGTTTCGGGGCTAGTGCGGTTGGACTGGCGGCTAGCGAACCGGGCGAGGGGTTAGGCCTAGGGCTTACTTAGTTGCATTGGGTCCTTTAGGGTTTAGGGTTTAGGGTTTGGCAAACAATGTTAAGGGTTCAGGAACTAGAGCCTAAGGTTTAGGGTTTAGGGTTTAGGGTTTAGGGTTTCGGGCTCCATGTAAGGGTTTCGACTTCAGGGCTAGGGTTCAAAGCTTCGGGTTCAGTGCTTAACCTAAGAAATCACAAATCAGGGTTGAGGGTTTAGGGTTTGGGTTAAGGGTTTAGGGTTTAGGGTTTAGGGTTTAGGGTTTAGGGTTTAGGGTTTGTGCAGGTCGCGGGCGCTGGGCAAGGGCCCTGGCTACGGCGGCCACGGCGGCTCTGTGCTGCTGCGCTGCAGCAGCACAGTGGGGTGTCTG